AATAAAAATTTGAAAAATCCAAAATTTTGGTTTTAAAAATTCTATTCCATAGGCCTTCCCGAAAATTTGCATATTGCCTTAGCGGTTTAAATCAGTTAGCATTGGTAACTATGTCGTTATGATATCGTAACAACAGAGGTATTTTCACAGGGTTACCATATTTTGACTCTGTCTTGTCCTATCTTTACACAAAAGAGGCAATATTTTAAAAAGGTGTGTATCGGCAGAAAAAATGTTTGACAAGTGTCTCTCCAGCCGAATTTAAAAATAGAAAAATCCAAAAATATGTTCAAAATTTCAACATCAAGGCCTATTTAAGGTCGGCCAGTAGGACCATCTGACTACTAAGTTTTATGTCAAAATATATTTTGAATAAAAAAACAAAATTGTGACGTTCTTGTCAAAAAAAATTTCGAAATAATTAAAATTATTAAAGGAACTTGAAGACAAATCTATATGAATTATAAATAAACAAGAAATTTTGTGAATTTGAAAAGTTCCAGGAAGGGGTACATTTTTTTCATTTCCAAAGGATGAAATGTCGAAGGCAGAATGGAGTAACGTTTGCCAGGTAGAATTTAAAGCAACGACTTCTGTATGCTCTGAATTAACCCGTTTATACGGCATGATTTGTCCGTTTATTTTAATGGCAATTTATTCGAAAATATATGAAATTCTCACAAATATGAATAGAAGAGATTGTTGTTTCTATTCTATTTTCATTCATGTTTTCAACTTTTTGTGTAAATGTTGACCAAGGCCTATGTAAGGTCGGTCAGGAAGCGAATTGGTAAAAAATACAGCTCTGTCTGTTAATTTTAATGACATTTTTTATTTTTATCCAGGCGAAATTGTTAATTGCGCACAAATTTGTTAATTGCCAACAAAGAAAAACAAAACCAAGAGGAAAACACCATGTATCAGAATGCCGACTTCTGTGTGGGAGGTATGATTTTTATGCATTTTATGAGAGATAAAATTATTCAAAATGTTGACCCTTTGTGGCGGAGGTTATGTTATACCTATAAATTATTCATACAGAGTGATAAAAAACTGCAACAAAGTCAAACGCCATAATTTGTTTTTTTTTTAATTTGATTGAATGTAAGCATAAAGTGTCGGATTCAAATTTTAGAATTAGTTTAAATTTGTTCGAATTGGTCACCGTTGGCACGAATTATGGCCTTCAAACGGCCAATGAAACCGTCACACGCTGCCCGAATGTTGCTCTGCGGTATTTTGGCCCATTCCCGGCGAAGCGCTGGCTTGAGGTGATCGACACTTTGGTATTTTTGGTGCCAACCTTGCGTTGCAAATTACTCCAGACACAATAGTCCAACGGAATGGTATCCGGAGATTTTGGATTTGGAACCTCATTTTGTAACCATTTTTGGGTGCCGCGTGCTGAGTGCGATGGTACAGAGTCCTGCTGGAATGTCCAAGATCTGCGACCAAAATGTTTGCGTGCCCAAGGCTTTCATACACCCTCCAGAATATTATCGCGACGATATTCTCTTCCAGATATCACCGCATAACAACGTCGAAGTGTTCAGAGCATACAGAAGAAGGCAATGACTACCTCCAAAATTGGGTGTTGTTCAATTTATAGAAAGCATGGACAATAGCCTAATTATTAATATTTGGCAAGATAGTTAGAGTTCTTTAAAGTCAGATATGGTCTGTTTGACAGTTTTTTAGGTTTTCGACTGACGAAAGTTGTAAACGTCATATACCAGTATAAAAGGTATAAAAGAAAGAAAAGGTATAAAATGTCATAAACTTCTAAAATACTATAATATCCCACATAATACTTCCCAATTTGGTTGGTAAACGTTAAGGTCGTATTATTCGTTGATCTTAATGAGGTTACTTTCCTTGTGTGTGTCTTCAAAATATGGCAAAGTTACTGTAGGGAGCATAAAACCTCTAGCTGGAGTTATTTTAACCCAAGACAGAAAACTGTAAAGATTGGGCAAAATGCACATTGCCTTCTAATGTCTCGATCAAGCAATATATGGTCGACGACATGCCAAAAATGCATTAACAAATATGTTATTCTGATCTATCTCATTATATGCCTTTGTATTCAACCACCAAAAATATTCTTTCAACAACTCTTATTATTTGGTAGGTTTAAAAATTGACATTAAAATTAACAGACAGAGCTGTATTTTTTACCAATTCGCTTCCTGACCGACCTTACATAGGCCTTGGTCAACATTTACACAAAAAGTTGAAAACACGAATGAGAATAGAAACAACAATCTTTTCTATTCATATGTGTGAGAATTCCATATATTTTCGAATAAATTGCCATTAAAATAAACGGACAAAATTTTTGAAAAAAGGAATCATTTTACTATGAATTACGAATCATGCCGTATAAACGGGTTAATTCGTGTACCTAATTCTGAGAGCGAACAACATGATTAAAAGTGCAATGAGAACATAGCATTAAACATAGATGGTCTGTCAGAAATTCTGACGTATATGGCATGCTTTTCCGACATAGCATACGTACGTCCAAATAATAAAGGTAAACCTACCAAATAATAAAAGTTTCAGGAAAGTAACCTCATTAAGATCAACGAATAATACGACCTAAACGTTTATCAACCAACTTGGGAAGTATTATGTGGGATATTACAGTATTTTAGAAGTTTATGACATTTTATACCTTTTCTTTCTTTTATACCTTTTATACTGGTATATGACGTTTACAACTTTTCTATTCGATTTGTTCTTTAAGGACTAAATTTGTAGCAATCGGGTGGATTGTAAGTTACGGCAATCCTTACTCACTCAGCGAAATACTTTCTCCGGCGCCGTGAAAGGTGTATAAAGCCGATAATTTGGGTATAAACAAGTTCAAAAGGATCAGCCGGTTTGATTTTTTCAAACAGTTGACCCTTTATGGAGTGGGTTCCGAAGAAATGAACCAATATTGTCCATTTCGTATCGGACCTAAATTAATGTTGGTGACTTCCTTCACTTTATATGAGATATGTGATAATTTTTAGAAAATGTTAAAAGTGTGCGTGAGGTACCAGATAAAGTCGACCGAAGTATTTCACTTTCATACTTCATCTAATACTGATACAAATATTGTTATGGGAAAAAATACAAGAAAATCGAACATTTATATCCAATTTTATGCGAAATCATAAATTCCATATTCATATCAGGTTTCTGGTTCAGAAACATATTTAGATATAGCAATTTGTAAAGAATTCGTAAATTATGGCAGAAGTGGTTCGCAGATATATATCATCTTCACAACAGTTCATGTGTTAGCAAAAATCTTGCACGCACCATGTGGGGGAGGTACCAGAAGAAATGGTCCGATTTCTACCATCTTTTTAACATATCTTGTGTTGACAGAAGTGTTGATATGTACCAAATCTGAATGGATTCAGATGTTAATTTCGCGTTTTATTACCCTAATGGATATTCAAAAGTTGACCCTTTGTGGGGAAGGTACCAGAAGGAATGTACCGATATATTCCATATTCACAGCAGATCTTCTGTTAGTAAAAGTATTGAGATGTGTGAGATTTGAATATAATCCAAATTCTGACCTTTTGTGGGGGAGGAACCAGAAGAAGTGGACCGATATATCCCACCTTCAGATCTTGTGTTAGTATAAATAATGGGATGTGTGATGTGTGTGGATTTTTTATTCAAAATTTCGACCCTTTATGGGGGAGGTAACAGACGGAGTGAACCGACATATTTCATCTTCACGGCAGACCTTGGAACAATACAAATATTGTGATGTTTGTAATTTGAAAACAATCGGACACTAACATTATATTTTATGAGTTATAATTATTCAAAATGTTGACCCTTTGTGGGGGAGGTACTTGATGGAGTGGACCGATCTTGTCCATTTTCTTACCTGACATAGAATTGATGCAAATAGTCCATCCCCGAACTCGATATAAATTTGAAAATAATATTACGATGTACCAAGTTTGGACCAAATCGGATACTCTCTTCGAGAGTTATCGTGCGCACCAGCCAGGCAGACAGACGGACGGACGGACATCACTAGATTGACTCCAAATGTCCTGAAACATATTTGGTCCGTCGCCCTGTTGCAATAATTTCAATATTTAGGAACGGAAACAAAGTCCCTAATGGTACCGTTAAATGTCGAGGTTTTCTTGGTTACAACTATCAAATCAAGGCTCCTTTCTGATCCTTCGAATCGGACTCTGCTTTCCGGTAGGGAACGATTCAAATTTTTGTGATTGTTTCTGTGTGTCTGAGCGTAAGTGGTTCCGTCAGAAAATTAAGTTTACGTCGGCTTAAAAATATGTCTTGACAGCTTTTACGTTTTGGTGAGCATGATCAGATAGGTATGAACAGGTTACTGGGACAGATGGCTGAGGTTGTCGCCAGACTCTAGACACAGCAAACTGACACACCGATGTCGATGTGTCGCTGTTTGTTTTGGCTTCGAACGAATGGTGTTGGGTCGTGATAATTAATTAATTAATTAATAATAATTAGTACGGATGAGAGGGCCTATTGTGGGGGCTCGATGACAAAGTGGTGGTTTAAAAGGATTTGAGATTAGATTACAGCGTGTTATCAACATATTTTGAAAGTTTTGACAAACCTCATACTGATTTAGGAATGGGGTTTTATAAATCAGTGCTAGTTGGCGATCATTTTGCGCTTGTTGTGCCTCGCTTAACAAAAGACAAACGTTCCAGGCCTTTGCTGGTGTGAAGCAGAGGTGTCGCTTTGTTATGTTAATAAGCCTGGGTCATAAATCAGTGGCGGATTGGTCGTATTTGTTTTCTGTTTAACGCACACTTCTTCCTATGCCGGGGGCTAGGCTTTGTTAGAGAGAGGGGAGGGGGGATTGGAAGAATGACAAATTGAAAGCAATTAAAAGATCGACAACTCTGTTTACTGACACGCCGTTGAATGCCAAGTTGTGGACATGATTTGACCCATTGTTTTTGTTTTTCTTCCTCTTTTGTTTGCAGTGTTGGGCCACAGAGAATCCGAACTTTGGACTGCGCAGCAAGGTGTCTATTAGAGAAGACTGACAAGGTGCTTCTGCGCACAGAATGATGGAACATATTCCATCGATTTCACTATCTGGGATATCCATAGCGCATCCACTTTCCATATCGTCGGGTCAGACACTCTCGAACCATTTTGGCAATAGCTCGACTGTCGGTGCAGCAGCCGGAAGTCACATCGAACAACTGGCGGCCGCAGTGCATCACCACCATCATCACAATAACCAAGCGACCATTCAGCAGGGCAGCAACGGTCACCTCTCGCTAAACTCCCTGTGCGGTTTGCAGAGCCAGCACACAACCTCGCCGTCCACAACGTTGTCCTCTGGCACCAACACAGTGGCGAACATTCCTGCGGTATCGCAAAGCAATCAGCAAATATCCCCCGCCCATAATTATATACTGCATCACGCCCACCACACGACCCACCTGCAAGGCGGAGGATCTTTGCACCACAACAGTTCCGCCTCGGTGCATTCCCATTCCCTGGCTGGCTCAGGGAGAGCACTACCGCTCAGGCCGGGCGACCATTTGACGGCACACCTGCCCAATAATCTCGTCCACAACCACATTGCAGGGGAAACCCCGTCCGGTCCATCCTCGGCGACATCGTCAGCGATTTCGTCGTCAAATACCTCCGCCATGGCTGCCGCTGCCGCAGCCCACCTGCACCACACTTCGCAGACATCACAAATGACAAATCTACACCAGAACATGGGTTCCCTGATGAATACTGGCGGCAGTGCCAGGTAAGTGCATCCGTTGCGAATTTCAGCCTTCCCTAGTAGTTATTTCTGCCTCATTCACCCCTCTCATGTTTCTAGCGATGTTTTCTTCAGTCTGATGATACAGAACACAACGAAACGACAAAACGAGGAACATATCAAACGTCCAATGAACGCGTTCATGGTCTGGTCTCGCCTACAACGCCGCAAAATTGCCCAGGACAATCCAAAAATGCACAATTCCGAAATATCCAAACGCTTAGGTAAGTACCCGCTCGAATAGTTAGGCAATATTAATCCGTATGTATCTGTGGTCTTTGCGTAGATTGTCATTTGTTGCGACTGCCTCAAACCGAAAGCCATAATCGGTGGTTGTATGTTTGTCATTTCGAAATTAAAATGTGAAGCCGGCACCATGAACTAACCACCCACCCACCGTTTGGTGGCTGGCAACGGGCGATTAACGGCAATACGAACGCCATTCGGGTCACTGCAGGAGGCCACAGAACAATTGATTTCCATTTACATTCCCGTTAGATGATTAGATGACAAGATCGCATGCTGTCACTGTTTAACGTCTGTGTGTCAAAGATGACAGGGGCTGTCAAACAACGAAGCCCCTTCAATAGACAGTGCCTCGGCTAATCCACTAGCTATTCGCGCACATATGAAAGGGCGACTGACGACTGAAGGGTTGATTACTGGTTGTCGATGTCGTCCATGGTCGAGTATGCTATTCACGCCTCGTCTTACGCAATCTGTGTCAGCTCATCGTGAATTGCAGTACGCGTATCAGCCGAACAGGACCAGCTCTCTCAACCAGTTGCATACCTAAGTAGTTTGCCAAACCTAATCCCAGATTTATCGAAATGAGAAAATAGACGCCGCGTGCGTTCCAACGTATCTTTTTGTCCCACCGCAATTTTGTCAATCACGACTCTTAAAAATTTTAATTCAATTTCTATTCAATTTCTCTTGTATCCGCACAACAATAGTTCTCTGAATCCAGTCCCTGTCCCATTGTTGGTGCGTCATGAGACACGTGTCCTTGGTGCTGTATTAACTATTTTATTATTTGCTTTCGGCGTCGATACTTCCTACACACCCACCCCAGTACGAACAGCACACACGTCCCACCCACCTCTCCTCCCCTCCGTGCCGGTCCGATGTAACTTTTTATTTTAACATAACAAAGGATAACGATTCCTGCATCTTTTCAACTTTCTTAAACAAAACACTCACATCAGAACCACCAGCCCGAAAACTTGCTTAAATTAGGCAAATGTATGCATGCATACACTGGCTTGTCCCGTAGCTTGTTCGACACTATCCGACAAATCAAAGCGAAAAATCCGTTAAAAATATATGTTTATATCTACTTTGAAGGAGTTTTGTGTTCATATCATATTCCTTTGATCACAAAGAACACTGATTTCGAAAATCTGCGCACTATACCTTTTCGACAGTGGAGAGTAAAATCTCGTAGAATTTTACACCCTGCTTAGAACGAGGTCTTCGTCGATGGAAATGTGAAATGAAAAGCATCATGAAGAAAATATTTGTTGTCATTTCACATTTCCGTAAGCCAAAGAATCATGCCTTATGCAAGCCACACTCGTACGAAGTTGTCTCTCGGTTGAACGAAAGATCAAAATGTTTTGATTTTTTTTTCAATTTTTACCCATCAGTTGTAGAAGTTTAAATCAAATATTTGCGTAGAGGCAACGCCATTGCATTGCGCATTGCAAAAATGGGGACTAGAATAATAAAATAATTAAATGGATGAATAATAAACTGTTGAGACAATTGTTGCGCACGCAATTATTTGCAATGTCGTCTTAACTGAAAATAGGACGCTCGCAAAATTAAGCTGCGAAAATAGATTGTGCACAACGTTGTACCCTTTGTGACCGAAGCACACAATTTGACTAGTCTCCAAATTGTGTTCATTAAATTTACAAAATACTAGAGTCTGGTAACTTGAGATTTACTAACAACAAATGCTTCTTTTGTTTATTTCATTCTCACAGTATTTGAATTTAGAGAAGATTTAGAGAAGATCGCGAAAAATGAATGCAACGCCACGGATTGGTCACAATATCAAAACAAAATGCAAACATTATTCTTTCCAAAATATCGAAATATGAGTAATATTCTTCTGCGCATGTTGGAAAGTATATGGAATTGTTTAGCTAGATATTCAGTGCTACATCAATTTTAGCAGCACACCCTAATGTCTACAAAGCAAGCGCACATAAACACTTCGTAGCTGAATTCAAAATGCGGCACTGTTATAACAAAGATAGAAGTCACACATACACATCTCCACATATTTCGTGCTGAAGATGTAAATGGACCAGGTTATTTTAGGAAAATTAATTTCCCTCTTAAAATAAATTAATTTGCTTAAAAAGCACCAAAATTGAATTATTTCATATCTTGAAACGCGCAATCGTTGGAGCAGAACATGAAGGTTTGCCCTTCAATAACATTTCCATTAAATTGTAGAATTTAGAAGTTGAAATCATTTTATGTCGATTTATCCTCAAATAGTTGATCAACTCCAGCATCGCAGCCAATTCAACAAATCAAAAATGCATTATTTCTGACCAGCATCATAGACAAATTAAGATATAGACAACGAAAAGTTAGTTTTGTCTTTTTATCCAGGTGGCTCTCATCATGTTTTGCGTAGTCAACATGCTGATTTACGCGTTCAACCCACTCGACTTCGAAAACACATTTTATCATTTTTCAAGAATTTCACTTTATTATTCCGGATTTTTTTGATATTATCACGTACTTTTCACATTTCTTTTATTATGGAACAATTTTCAACTGACAAATATCTTACAGTTTTTGTTATTTTTAACGTTTTAGAATTGAGTGACTTCAATATTCCCACTCAAACCCCTGAAACGATATAGACGACATCTGCTGATTCGATTTTTTTCGAAGATAAACGGTGAGAGCATTTCGTTGTCTATATCTTAATTTGTCTATGCCAGCATGCTTTTATATGTCAGAGAGAGAGAGAGAGAGAGCAAAAGAGAGAGAGAGAGAGAAATTTGCAAAGACGCGACAAAATGCATGTTTTCTTTAATAACAATGAACGTAAATGCATAGTGGTTGTGTAGTTCTGGGCAGAGCAGTTATAAACAATTTTCCCCTTAGGAAATTAGCCGTTTCAAACATAACTTCTTTTAAGGACAGTTATGATTTAAGAACTAAAGAAGGCGGCACGAACTTTTGACTCCACCTACCATGAGGTAAAAGAAAACTTTGAAAATAGAAGCATCGAGCATGTTTCATTCAAAAACTTGAAATCGGACCAAGGAAATCGGTCAGAAATCGTAGTCAAGGGCTTTAAAATTATGGAGTGATGTTATATTGGGGCTATGCGGAAAAGTGGCTGTTGACTGGAGGTTTCCTACCCTCGAAAAACGCAAAAGCGAAATTATTTCGGCCGTAGAAATGCAAAATACGGAAATTCGGGCGATACCGTTATGATGGGCTGTAACCATGGTACAATGAAGATTTTGGAAACTTTGGCAAATAACGAGGTCTGCCTGCATGGATTGTAATGTCATTATTATGAAATATTGTTCGATTATTTAAATATATTTTGGCTTCTGTTATGATTATCCAAATTGTTGACTCTCTAGAAGTGGGTTCTAAAGGAATGGTAAATATTGTACATTTCGTATTGGACCAGGTTTGGAATATATTTGTACCTTCCCTCACTTTACATGACACATGTGATAGTTTTCAGAAAATGTTAATGTGTGCGTGAGGTACCAGGTATAGTCGATCGAAGTATTCCATTTTCATGCATCATCTAATGCATATAAAAATATTGGTAAGGGCAAAGTTACAAGAAAATCGAACATTTATATCCAATTTATGGGAAATTATAAATTCCATATTCGCCTCAGGTTTCAAGTTGTAAAAAATCGCCGTCTTGTTTCACAGATAAAAGTATTGAAAATTGTGACCCTTTGTGAGTGAGGTGTCAGAAGGGGTTCGCAGACATATATCATCTTCACAACAGATATTGTATTAACAAAAATGTTTGTATGTGTGAAATTTGAAGAGAGTTGGATGCTTATTTAAAATTATTATTTGGATATATTTGAAAGAGAGGGGGGCAGTTAGCAAAAGAAATCTTGGCAAAAGAGATCTTGGGTTGATAAAAATATTGGGATGTGTGTAATTTGAAGGCAATTGGACTCTTACACATTACATTTTATAAGAGTTGTAATTATTCAAAATGTTTACCCTTTGTGGGGAGGCGTACCGATATTATCCATTTTTGCACCTGACCGAGAACTGACACAAATATATTAGTTGGAGCAAAATCGGATTAGTGGTTCTCTTTCAGTGCGGACGGACGGACATCGCTAGATCGACTACAAATGTCCTGAAACGGATTTGGTCCAAAGGGACCTTAGGCCTTAAACCGTTATAACGAGTAGGCACGTTTTGACCGTATCAAATGATATATACCCTCTCTAGCCATATGACTGAGGGTGTAAACATGTTCAATATAAAAATGTTCTAAAGATTTATTTTGCTACATAAAGTGTCATTTTGGTCCATACACACATACACAAGTAGTAATACGCATTTTGATTACAACTTAATTCGGATATTTCCTTAACAATTTTCATTTGATTGAAAAGATTGAAAATAAGAAGAAATTAGTTTGTCATGTTAAGCCGGGCAAATAAAAAATATAAAATCTATCGGTTTCACTGTCATACCTAATTTTGAACCTATTAGTACAGTTCTTTCTTAAGAATAGTTATTAATCTCTGGATGGATTATATTGTGTAGTGTCATGTCGCAAAGTGTAATGTCTTGGTGGTTTTATAGTTGTACAGGTAATTGTATCACTCTTTTCAATCCGACGAAACTCTGATAAATGAATATATTCCACTAGCAAACTTCAATGTTAGGACAAACCATCTGAAGCGGGGGATCATAAAAGAAATTGCTTTGCAGCAATCGACTGAAAACACGAAATGCACAATTTTAGAAAACTCGGCAGTAAAATTCGAAAAAATCTTGGTTGAGTTGCATAAAAAGAAGAAAACAGTGACGAAAAAGGGTCGACAGTTCAGTTTTCGAAAGCAGGGTTTCCACACACACGAATGCGTAGCAGGGGCTTTTGTGCATCGGAAACTGTAACACGTATCGAACAAATGTGCGAGAAAGGGCAGTCGACTGTAGCACATCTTAGACCTCGAAAAGACCCGAGACG